CCAAAATTTTATTGGAATAAAAAGATATATGAACCAAGTTTTATCATGTACTGCATAATTAATCTTTTAGAATTATTTATTGTAAACAAAGTTAGAATAGATCAAGATAAAAACAAATCTCAGAAAATCAATAGCTGAAAGCAGAGTTCTTAATCTATTATTTACCACAAAGAGAATTTGTCAAATTGGATCAAGTCAGAAGAAAAGAGAAATGAAAAGAAAGGGTAAGAGAAAGAAAAGAAAAGATGAGGACAAAATAAAAATAGAATATGTGGCCAAAGGGTCTGAAACCTAGGGACCCAACGCAGACTTTTGACCATGGGTTCACACTGCATTATACAACAAAATTTTCAGAAAATTATATTAAGAGTGTAGCTTATAGCTCCAAACAGGATGGGTGCAAGTGCACCATTATTTGTGAGGTAGATCCGCCTCTGCTGCAATATGATAAAGAACTTTAATTGTGTTATTTAAGTAAAGACATTTGTATTTGAGACTCGGACCTGGTATAGGAAGTTTGGTTCGCTGTATCTATTATTGCTAGATTTATTTTGTATAACTTGATACTAGGAACCACTGTAGTTTGGTTTGCTCGAATGATAATAAAAACTAGCTTCAACTTTTCTCTTGTTATCTGTTAAGAGGCTTGACTTGAATAGGGGATGTAAGTTCGTGATAGTATTTAAGCACCTCAGACTCATTATTCTTTAAGCCATGAAGTTAAAATAATATGTACATGCGTAAACGTTGTAGCTAATCCCGTTGTTTGCTTAAAATTTGTGCCAATTGAAGTAGTTTTGTTTCAAAGAATAAGAACGTTCTAAATTTGAGTCTATAACTTTAATAGATTAAAAACCTTACATATGTACGCCTAATAGTATTTCTATCAGATTTCATTGAACGCTGCAAGTCTGTCAGCCTGTTCTTTTGGACTATTTTTGCAAGTCTTTATAGATTTCTCTAATTATGAAATTGCTCGCTAATCTTTATTCTCCACTTTTTATTTGCATGTACACTTCGGAGCGACATGGAGTCTTAATGCAAGACTCTTCCTACCCGCATAGAGTTATCGCAAACTATCCTCTTTAATCACATTGGACAAGAAGAAAACAAGCAAATTCGCTTGGGGTCGCCTATGACGGCTTTCATTATTCTTTACTTACATTGTCTAAATTTTTGTTAGTTCATGTGATTTGATTTGGTTTGGAATTCGTTTTATTATTGATGATTAATTTTATCGTGTAAATTTGTAACTGTAATTTTGGCCAAATAACTTACTAATCAAGAACTTCTAGGAGTTTAATCACCTAGAATAGTGGTACGTCTTTTTTTTGGGACTTAAAGAAGGGCCACGAAACTTTTCTGGAAACGTAGCTTTTGAATTGAGCTTTGCAGATTTTTTTTTAATTTCTTTAAATAAATAAGTTCAGCAATTTCTTGACCTTAGTAAAATTTGATGACAAATAAAAAATCAACTTTCTTCTCTTGCGGTAAGTGATGGGTATTTTCAAATAAAAATGGATATTTGCTTCCAGATCCATATATGCACATATTTAATTAGTTTTTAACTTTTTCTTTACTTCAAATATTCTCAAGTTAAATTACTCTTATGTAAGCTATATTTTATAAAAATACCCAAACGATATTTCTTGATATTTTTGTATAACCTTTTAACCTATGTTTGGTCAGTTAATCGTTATTAACGGATTTTAAAAGGTGCCTTAAAAAACCTTCCTTTTAAAATATTTAAAACCCTTGCTTAGAATCTTTAGGTTAAGACCATAAGACAGAGTTTGACTTAAGCTTTAAAATAGGTGTCCTAATTCACCTTAGAATTAATTGGGTGGCGACTCTCTAATTTGACCTATGTTAAAATGGGGTATAACAGCTTGGCGACTCTGCTGGGGATTTTAGGTTTTAAACCATAACAAACTTAGGTTAATAATAATGGCATTTGTATTTTGTGAATGTTTTTGTTTGTTGCCTTATTTGAAAATGTGCTACTTCCTGTAAGATGTAATTACTATCTTTCATAAATTGTCATTCCGTTTTCACTTCCTCCACTTTTGGAAAATTAACACTGAGCACACACCTAGCGGTTACGCGATTTGCGGCCGTGCACTTTTCCAAAAATACCTTTTAGGGGAAAGTTTGTGGGTAAGTCGATCAGCGATGCAATCGACAGTCACAGCTTTTCACTCTCAAGTTGTCCACTTGGGAAAAGACCAGTCTAGAAAACCCACTCTTAGCCGACCTAGGATAGAGCTAAACCAAATCTCTTCTTAGGGGCATGCATCACGCAACCTTAGGAGGCTTAATACCCTAGGTGTATTAAGTCCATTAGTTAGCCTTATCCAAATGTCCAAGCGGGTTTATAACCCCGAGTGACACTTATTCATCCTTTGTGTGCATTATTTGAAAGATAAACACACCGATTATGTGGACCACTTACTCAAAATGGGAAAACGGGTAGGATTAATCTTTTCTGTGATGCAGGAAATTATGAATCAAGTTGTCTACCAAAAGATCGGCATGGTGTTGGACATACCTCCCAAACTAAAGGCATGGTGGAGAAACTTAGGAGAAAGCGCACAATTCGAAGTGAGAAAGAAACTGGGTCATCTACCGTTACTTATGGAAGTCACAGCGTGTAGGGAAATTATTGAGGCAGCAATCACCTTTTGGGATGAAGAAAGGGCCGTATTCAGATTTGGAGAAAATGAGATGACTCCATTGTTAGAAGAGATTGGAGGCTTCATAGAGAATGCGAGTTTGTTATGGAAAGGCAGACATTCTTAGCAGAACGCTGGCATGATTATTCCAGAAAATCCCTCGACAAAAGAGTCCCTTGAAAAGTTTGGTTTTGAGAAAGAAATTGGGCTAGAGCATTTGAAAGAATCCAAAATACCCCTTGACTATATGTTTGACATTTTTGGATGTTCAGGTGCTTTTCTACGACATCGAGAAGTGTTCTCCTCACATGCTTCTTGGAGTGAAAAAAGGGTATTCGCTTTTTCAGTTTGTTTCCTCGGGCTCCTAGTATTTCCCCGAGGAGCAAAGCAGGAGATTCACACTCGACTTGTCATGGTTACTGATGCATTATTTAATGGAATTGATGGAAAGCCATACACCATAGTGCCGATGGTTGTCGCAGATATATACCGAGCTTTAGGCCTTTGCAAGAAAGGATTTAAACATTTTGAGGGATGTAATTTGTTGCTGCAGTTGTGGTTTATGGGGCATCTCCAAAAGATCAGTGGAAGCCAAGAGCTTTACAAGCAAAACGGTGCTAATCACATCACGTCATACACGATCCCAGTGGTTGCATTCAAGCATCCAAATAGTGTTAAAGGATGGGGCAAGTTACTTAGCAAGCTAAATAATACCACAATTCAATGGATGTTTTCTTGGTATCCATCTGAGAATTTTGTAATCCGTGGAAAAATGATACCTTACTTGGTTCTCATCGGGCTTCGAGGACTTCAACCATATGCTCCGTTACGAGTTATGAGACAAGCCGGAAGAACGCAAGTCATACCGCAAGTTGATAACGAATTGACTATGATAATGATAAAATTCCTTTTGCACAGGAAATTCTCAGGATGTGGAGGAACAAGAGAGCTATGGTCAGGGATACAATTGCACCAGATAGGTACCAAGCTGGATGTGACACTTTTTATTTAGAATGGTTACGTGCCCACCTTGAAGGTTCTGTCACAAGAGGGATTAATCTGGGTGGCCGAATCAAAGATAAGGCAGCCAAAGCTGAAATCAAGTATCGCCGGCTGAAAAGAAGGGTGTTCGAGTCTGAAGCAAAGCACAAGGAGCAGCATGAGAAGGAAAACAAAGAGATTGAAATGTTGAGACAACGAGAGGAGATGCAGAAGCAACAAATAGAAATGTGGAAACAACAAGCTGTGGAAATGGAGCAAGGACTCAAAGATTTGGATGGAGACCTCGAGAAGCAATTCATAGAATGCTATTGCCAAGGACTGGACGAAGGAGGAAAGCTAGCCATGGTTTACCTTGTGAAGAATCGCCAGAAAATTGATGAGGCAATCAGAGCAGCGAAGAGGCTAAGGGGCGATGAAGAACCATCCTCAGTCAACTAGATTAGAACTATGTTGTAGTCTTTATTTCAATTAAGGCTATGCCATTGTAATCGTTTTAGACTAAGGCAATGTTGGTATTTCTCTTTTAATTTATGTACTAAGCTGGAATCATCAATGAAAGTGATTTTTGGGGTGTCTAATTAAGGAGCAATGGAATGATATATAATGGTGTGTTTATCTCTCAAATTTTCGCTAGGCCTACCTCTGGCACAAAGAGGTCCCGTGCATACTAGGACACGCTTATCATTGCTTGACTTATTTGTATTATTACGTGATTTGTTTGTTATGTGATATACTTGCTTTTAAATTTAATCACCACTTACTAACAATGTCTTTATTTCTTTTTAAAGGTTTTTCTATTTTATCACTCCCCAAGGTTGATTTGTGTTGACTGCGAACTGGCTGAACACCCATACTTCACGAGATCCAAGGCACGAGCAACTACCAACATGACTGGTTCAAACACATCTAATATGACAGGCTTGGGACTTGTCACTGTTCAACGAGACGAACCTGAGGCTTCGGACGGAAGGGAGGTTACCCTTCGTGATGAACACATCGCCCAGTTGTCGCAACAAGTGGCTAACCTGCAAGGTGAAACTGAACGGCTTCGGAACCTTACCAATCTTTCTATCAGCCTCAACACACCACTTCCCGAAGAAAGGACAAATGCACCTATCCCACCACCTTTCCCATCTTTGACTCACCTATCCCGGAACATCTTCCACCAAACCCTCCACTTCACAACAACAAGCCAACATCCACTAACGCACATGCTAACCGCAACAAGCCAACCCATCGACTTTTACCACATCATATGTTTCCCAACCACCACCAGCCCAAAGCACCCCGCTAACCCAAAATCACCATGTAACCCAACACATACCGATGGCACATATCGCTATTCCTAACATGCAGCATGTTCCACCGGTATATGTAGCGAAAGCACAACCTTTTACTACCCCTATGCCTCACCAACTTCACTCCGAAGTGTATCAGTATCAGGAAGCAGAAAAAGAAGTAAGGGCCAAAGCCGACGAGTATACGGCGAAGGAGATCCGTGAGTTAAAGGAAGCATTCAAAAGTTTGAAAACCGTTAGGAGTACGGAAGGTTTGGAGTATGAGGATCTATGTGTTCATCCCGACGTCGATTTACCTACAGGATATAAAGTACCAAAATTTGACATGTTTGATGGAAAAGGAAACCCGCGAGCCCATTTGAGGTCGTATTGTGATAAGTTAGTTGGAGTGGGAAAGGATGAAGCTATCAGGATGAAGCTTTTTATAAGGAGTCTTACAAGGGAAGCCCTTGATCGGTACACAAGTCAAGATCCACAGAAATGGCGCAGTTGGAGTGTCATGGCGCAAGAATTCATGGACAGATTCAGATTTAACACCGAGACCAACCCAGATAGATTCTATTTGATGACGTTGGAGAAGAAAACAACAGAATCCTTTAGAGAGTATGCCATGAGATGGAGGGCAGAAGCAGCAAGAGTCCAACCCCCGATGGGAGAGGATGAGATGACAACTACTTTTATTCGATCTCAAACGGATGCGACATACTATGAGAGATTGATAAGCATGCTGGGGCATCGGAAGTTGTTAGGATGGGAGACGTTATAGAGGAAGGTCTCAAATCTGGAAAGAGAACAAACTTGGCAGCACTACAAGCAACGAGTAAGGCAATCCAGTCAGGAACTATTGGAGGAGCAAGTAAGAAGAATGAGAAAGAAGTATCCGCTGTTATGACCGTCCAAGACCGCAGGCCTAACCAAATGTTAACCTACCAAAACCCATTACCCCAACCTTCATACTATAGCCTATACACCCAAACTCCTCAACCTTATTACCAACCTTCGCCCATTCCCTATCCTGTTTATAATACCCAACCAACCTATTATCCACCCCGAGCACCCACATACCAGAATCCATCACATTACCAACCCACATATCCATCTCAACCCCACTACCAATCACAAAACCGCCCAAATGCACCTAGACCTCGCCCGAGCTTTGAAAGAAAACCAGCCAAAACCTATACACCCCTAGTTGAACCTTTAGCCCAGTTGTATGAAAGGTTGAAAGCCGCAGGAGTACTCCAACCAGTCCCAGGAAGAGTTTCCGACCCCCTCCCAGGATGGTATGATGGGACCAAACGTTGTGCATATCACTCTGGTGTGACTGGACATGACACAAAAAATTGCCTTACTCTCAAAGATAAGATTGAAGAGTTGATCAAATCAGGAACCATTCAGCTTAAGGGAGCTCCCCCGAATGTGAACAACAACCCTCTTCCAAATCACGATGATACCGGTATTAACATGATATCTACTGATGAGGATTGGAATTTGGAAGGAACAATTATACCAATTGAAGGCGAGAAAAAGGTTGTGTCATCTGCCTTCATTGCTCCTGTCATCACAGTGCAAGTGCGAGCACCAATTGAGGTGGAGGTACTCCCTCCGAAACCCAGGATCATGGCTCTAGTTGCTCAGACACCCTCATTTGAAACCAAAGCAGTTCCTTGGGACTATCAGTCTGATGTAAGGAACAAAGGAAAGGCAAAATTAGTTGTAGAAGCTGCTGCTGCAGGTATGACGAGATCCGGCCGGTGTTATGTTCCTGAAGAAGCATCACGAGGAACTTCAAGTAAGGACATCAACCAGAAGAAGTCCGTAACAGAAGCTGAAGCAGAAGAGTTTTGGAGAAAAATGCAATGTAGCGGATACTCTGTTATAGACCAACTGAAGAAGACGCCGGCTCAAATTTCTCTCATGTCATTATTGATGAGTTCTGATAGCCACAGGAATGCTTTGGTAAAAGTACTCAATGAAGCATATGTACCAGCCGAGACAACTAGTGAACATTTGGAAACTATGGTAGCCCAAATTTTAGAAGCCCACAAGATTTCTTTTCACGAGGATGAATTGCCGCCTGAAGGTCTAAGTCACAACAAAGCTTTGCATCTCACTGTCAAGTGCAGGGATAAGTTTGTTTCTAAGGTTTTGATCGATAATGGTTCTGCACTTAATATATGTCCTTTCACTACCCTCAAAGCTTTGGGAATTGACATTGGAAAAGTTCGTGAGAGTCATGTGAATGTTAGAGCTTTTGATGGAGCGCAAAGGAGCGCTATTGGTGAAATTGACTTAGCATTACAAATTGGGCCTGTGGAGTTTATCATTGAATTTCAGGTGTTAGACATATCTGCTACTTATAATTTGTTGTTGGGAAGGCCGTGGATTCACATGGCTGGTGCAGTCCCTTCCACTTTGCACCAGAACGTGAAGTTTGTGTGGAATCACCAGGAAGTTGTGATTCATGGAGAAGCAAGCAATCCCATTTACCCCGGGAATTCAATCCCTGTCATTGAAAGTGTGGAGAGGCTGGATGGAGCCACTTTCCACATTGAAGAAATTATGATTGCTACTCGAGGCAAAGAGATAAAGTTGCCAAGTGTGTTCGTGATGGTGGCATCAGAAATGTTGAAGAATGGCTTCGAGCCTGGTCGAGGACTTGGAGCAAGGTTGCATGGAATAGTGGAGCCAATTCAGCTACCAGGGCAGAACAACACCTTTGGCCTAGGGTACGAACCCACTCCAAAAGAAGTCTCGGAGGCTCGTCTCAAGAAGAAAAGTGACATTGTCCTGCCACAGCCTATCCTGCCGCTAAGCCAGTCATTCCCCAAGACAGTTACTATTCATGAGCTAGATGAAGATGCTGAAGACGACCTCGTTGAAGGAATCAGGAACCTATTCCTTGCCGATTGCAATGTGATTCTGAATGATTGCACTGAGACACCAACTATTTGGGATGCCGCACCTGGAGATGTTTTGAACAATTGGACTTGTACCCCGTCCCCGGTTCGCCGGGAGTCTTGGTAGATCGATTGTATTAGTACTTTTTTTAAACAACACGATTCAAAATTGAGGCCTGAATCGTGTCTATGATTTTTATGTTGTTTGCCTCGATCTTTTGGAAGCTTAAATGCAAAATCTGAATATGCTTTTTCATTTTACATTTAAATTTTTTGTCTTTATTAATTTTCTTTCTTTTTATTTTATTTTATTTTTCAGCAAACAAATTAATAAAAATGCTGACACCGTGAATGTGACATGCAATGAAACAAGTGAACAAAATAACAAGCAAGATCTTGAAGAATATGAAGAAGACGTGCCGCCTGCAGAATTAACTAAAGAACTTGAGCAGTTTGAGAACAAGTCAAAACCAAATTTGGATGAAACAGAGCTTATAAATTTGGGGAATTCAGAGTCTATAAAAGAAACAAGAATTAGTGTCCATTTGACGCCATCAGAAAAGGAGAAATATGTGGATCTTCTGAGACAATACGTCGATGTGTTCGCTTGGTCGTATGACGACATGCCTGGTTTAAGCACCAATATTGTTTCCCATAAGTTGCCAACGGATCCATCTTGTCCCCCGGTAAAGCAAAAAACAAGAAAATTCAAAACGGACTTAAGTTTGAAGATCAAAGAAGAAGTCTCCAAGCAATTTAAGGCAAATGTCATCCGAGTCACAAAGTATCCCACATGGTTGGCCAATATAGTACCAGTACCAAAAAAGGATGGGAAGATCAGAATATGTGTGGATTATCGGGATCTCAACAAGGCTAGTCCAAAGGATGATTTCCCACTCCCGAATATTCACATACTCATTGATAATTGTGCAAAGCATGAGTTGCAGTCATTCGTTGATTGCTTTGCCGGTTACCACCAGATTTTGATGGATGAAGATGATGCTGAGAAGACAGCCTTTATCACACCTTGGGGGGTGTATTGTTATCGGGTGATGCCTTTTGGACTCAAGAATGCAGGTGCTACATACATGAGAGCTATGACAACTATTTTTCATGACATGATCCATAAAGAGATTGAGGTCTATGTGGACGATGTCATCATCAAGTCACGGAAGAGTTCAGATCACTTGGTAGACCTGAAGAAGTTCTTTGATAGGTTGCGGCGGTACAATTTGAAGCTGAATCCCGCAAAGTGTGCATTCGGAGTTCCAGCTGGAAAATTATTAGGTTTCATTGTCAGTAGAAGGGGCATAGAGTTGGATCCTTCAAAGATAAAGGCTATCCAAGACCTGCCACCTCCAAAGAATCGGAAGGACGTGATGAGCTTCCTTGGTCGCCTTAACTATATCAGCCGTTTCATAGCCCAATCAACAGTGATTTGTGAACCAATATTCAAGATGTTGAGGAAAGATGCCACTACCAAATGGACAGAGGAATGTCAACGAGCTTTTGATAGGATCAAGGAATATTTATCAAATCCACCGGTGCTGGTACCTCCGGAACCTGGAAGGCCGCTGTTGTTATACATGTCCGTATCAGATAATGCATTTGGATGTGTTTTGGGTCAGCATGATGAAACTGGGAGGAAGGAGCAAGCCATATATTACTTGAGCAAGAAGTTCACACCGTATGAAGCACGGTATACTTTGTTGGAACGCACTTGTTGTGCCTTAACCTGGGTTGCACAAAAGTTGAGGCATTACTTGTCAGCATACACCACTTATCTCATTTCCAGGATGGACCCGCTCAAGTACATCTTTCAGAAACCTATGCCTACAGGAAAGCTGGCGAAGTGGCAGATTTTGCTAAGTGAGTTTGACATCGTGTATGTTACTCAGAAGGCCATCAAAGGACAAGCGTTAGCTGACCACCTTGCAGAAAATCCTGTGGATGAAGAATACAAGCCACTTAGGACGTACTTCCCAGATGAAGAAGTATTATTTGCTGGAGAAGACATTTCAGAAGCATATTCTGGTTGGAGAATGTTCTTTGACGGAGCGGCAAACTTCAAAGGAGTCGGAGTTGGAGCAGTATTAGTTTCAGAATCTGGACAGCATTATCCAATCTCAGCGAAACTTCGGTTTCCGTGCACCAACAACATGGCAGAATATGAGGCTTGTATACTTGGGCTCAGAATGGCCGTTGATATGAACATCCAAGAGTTATTGGTTATAGGTGATTCAGACTTGCTGATTCATCAAGTACAAGGCGAATGGAATACAAAGAATACGAAAATCCTACCGTACTTACATTGTGTAAAGGAGTTGTGTAAGAAGTTTATCAAGGTGGACTTCAAGCATGTTCCAAGAGTTCAAAATGAGTTCGCAGATGCTTTGGCAACTTTGTCTTCCATGATTCAACATCCAGATAAGAACTACATAGACCCCATCAAGGTGAATGTGCAAGATCAGCCAGCTTATTGTTTCCATGTGGATGAAGAGCCAGACGGGGAACCATGGTATTATGACATTAAGAGGTATCTCAAGACAAGGGATTACCCTGAAGGAGCAACCAGTACCCAGAAGAGAACGCTTAGGAGATTGGCAAATCACTTTTTCCTAAACGGCGAAATCCTATATAGGAGGACCCCAGATTTAGGACTGTTGAGGTGTGTAGATGCTGGGGAAGCAACCAAGCTGATTGAAGAAATACACGCAGGAACATGTGGGCCTCACATGAATGGGTTTACTTTGGCAAAGAAAATTCTCCGAGCAGGTTACTTTTGGATGACCATGGAAACAGATTGCATTCGTTTTGTACAGAAATGTCATCAGTGTCAGATTCACGGTGATTTGATTCGAGTCCCGCCGAATGAACTCAATGTGACGAGTTCTCCTTGGCCATTCGCAGCTTGGGGCATGGACGTCATTGGCCCTATTGAGCCTGCCGCATCAAATGGGCATAGATTTATCTTGGTAGCTATTGATTACTTTACAAAGTGGGTAGAAGCCTCTTCTTACAAGTCAGTTACAAAGAAGGTGGTAGCAGATTTTGTCCGCAACAACATCGTTTGCCGATTTGGAATTCCTGAGTCAATCATTACAGATAATGGAGCCAATCTCAATAGTGACTTGATGCGAGAAATATGTGATAAGTTCAAGATTACTCACCGAAATTCCACTCCTTATCGACCTCAGATGAATGGAGCCGTTGAAGCAGCCAACAAGAACATAAAGAAGATATTGCGGAAGATGATTGATAACTACAAGCATTGGCATGAGAAGCTACCATTTGCTCTCCTTGGATATCGCACTACAGTCAGAACATCAACTGGGGCAACGCCTTATCTTCTGGTCTATGGAACTGAAGCCGTATTACCTGCGGAAGTTGAGATACCATCTTTGAGGGTCATCCAGGAAGCCGAGCTGAGCAATGCAGAATGGGTGAAGAATCGGTACGAACAACTAATGCTTATTGACGAGAAGAGAATGAATGCAGTTTGCCATGGTCAACTCTATCAAAATAGGATGGCCAGAGCCTTCAACAAGAAAGTGAAACCACGGCAGTTCAAACCGGGCAAATTGGTTTTGAAGCGCATATTCCCGCACCAAAATGAAGCCAAAGGAAAGTTTGCACCAAATTGGCAAGGTCCGTACATGGTGCATCGGGTATTGACTGGAGGAGCACTGATTTTAGCAGAAATGGATGGTGAAGTATGGCCCAAGCCCATCAACGCAGATGCAGTCAAGAGATACTACGTCTAGAGGCATATCTGGTAACCTCTTCTTTTCTATGTATTGCTTCTTAATGTAAATGAACTACGTTTGACTTGATTCCCGTTTAAGAGGGGATACGTAGGCAGCCCTGTGGGTTCGGTCTCATCATAATAAAATTTAATATTTCCCCCCAAATTGGAAACTGGGGCAGCTTTTGAAGGCGTCGTCATGAGGAGGCATTAGTCATCGACAAAGGAGGGTCAAGCAAGATGAATGACGGGATTCCAAATGAGGACGTTCACTTTGTTTCACGAGCATGTCACAATGCAGAATTCGGCAAC